GCACGATTAGGGACTTGGTGCAGCCTAGCCTCTTTTTAAGCGTCTGCTTCCCTTGGTTCGCATTGTAGGTCTCGGCAAAGTGGGACTCATTCACCTCGCTCGGCACCAATGCCTCTGCCGAGTCGCTCCGCCGATCGCTCAGCCCTGTCACGGCTGGCACTCGTCGCCCCTGATGCGCTCTGCTAGGAGCCGCCCGTCTTGGCCGCCCCTTCCGCTGTCGAGCTTGCGATGCTTCGTGTTCTGGGTGTTGGCGACCATCTCGGCGAGCTGCTCGGGGCTGACGGACGCGTCGCCCTCGCTCTTGCCCTGGTACATGGCTCGGTGCAGTTCCCCGACGTCATCTTTGTCCCACACATAGGCTGACTCGCGTTTCTCATGTCGACTTCCCTGCTCATCTGCATCAGGTCCCCATCCTTCCCGACGCTCGCTGCCCCCGTGGTGAACACCAGGCTCGCGAGCAGGAGGAGGCACAAGAGACTTCGCCTGAGCAAGTTTGGCCGCCATGTTCTGCCTGCACAGCTCCTCCATCTTGGCGAAGAGGGGGTTCGCCGAGAACGAGTTGTAGAACTGCAGCAGGTCAGGGTCCGACTTGAGCTGGTGGATCTCGGGGTCAAGCCGCAGAATGTCAGGGGGCACCTCCATTCCAGCTTCCGCCGTGCCGCCGCTGAGCTTCGCCGCGTGCCCCGCGAGCTGCTTCGTGAGGACCTGCTCCTCGCCGAGCTTGCTCTCCAGGAAGTCCTTCTTCTCGTCCAGCTCCTTCTGAACCTTCTCCAGCTTCTGCTGCAGGGACTGCAGGTCGTGCTTCGCCGTGCTGATCTGCTTCTGGACCCGCTGCAGCCTCTGCGTGCACTACTTGTGGGCCATGGCGGGCGTTCGCAGCGACTGCACCTGCAGCTTGGTCGCCTCCAGCTTCTCCTGAAGGTCGCGCACCAGCTCATCCTCGCCATCGTCCTTGTACATCTTGATGGTCTACTCGTACTTGGTGATCTTCGCCTGCAGCTCCGTGCGCTGCGCGACCGACGAGGACTCCGCCACGTTGTCCTCATCATCACCTTGGTCAACTTCCATGTCCGAGGACTTGCCGTTGTACTTATTGGGCTTCTTGTTCTCGGCAAGGAGTTGCTTGAGCTGGTTCTGCATTTGGCCATCTCCTTGGCCTCAGGAGCCCAGGGCGCCAGGGTGGACCGAAGGCCAGTCCCTCCCACAGACTTTGAGGGTGACTTCGTTGCAGGTGCACCGCTCTTGCCTGACTCCTTGGCCTTCTGCTCTGCCGCCTTCCTTGCCTTCTGCACCACGTGGGATGGGGCCGACTTGCCGCAGCGGCAGACGATGCGGCACGCCCAGTTAAGCACTCGTGCCGCAGCTGGGGCATCCCCACATTGGCTCACGCGGTCCATGAAGAACCCGTGGTTGTCGCTCCTCAGGCTGCGGCACCATCGATCCCGAAGATGAGCCGTGGTGCTCGTTGAGTCTCTCTGCCGCGCTCCGCAGCAGGGCCTGGAGTCGGGGCGTGGCCTTGCCCGCCCAGGCGTGCAGCAGGGCGCGGTCCGCCGCTCGGCGGAGTCGCGCGCGATGATGGCTGGCCGCCTCCCTAGGCGGCGTCATGCCGTGCGCTAGTCTCGGCGCGCGCGGGGGGGCCCTCGCCTGCGCTGGCAGGCACCCAGGGGGCACACCTCGCGAGCCAAAACTGGAGGAGGAGGAGGAGCGGGAGCAGGAGCAGGAGCAGGAGCAGGAGGGGCGAGTCTGTTCCCCGCCGAGGAAAATCAGGGGGGGGCTGAGGTTAGCCCATTCCATGTGATGGAAAACACAGAGACCTCAGAAACAAACACCACTGCGGGAAACTGCTGGGCACAGCTGTGAAAGAGGCCTTCACGTACGTGAAGAGTGAAGGGGAACGGCAGGGCGGAAGAAAAGCGGGTGGAGAAAGACGCCGCCGTGGCGGAAAAGGCAGAAAAAGGCAGCGGGTGGAGAAAGGCTTCGCGCACGAGGGGTTCAACGGGGGAGGGGGGGGGGGGCACTCAGGAGGCTGCTTCTTAGAAGGAGCCGGCCCTGCATCTCTAGACAAGGCGTAGCTGAAGAGAGAATTTCCAAACGTGGTGGCCGCGAAACCGAAGGACCATCTGGCGCCAGGTCGGGGCAAATTCTGTCGGGGAAGGGGGCGCCGGCAGTCATGGGGAGGCAGATGCTTCTGTTCGAGGCGGGGGGCCTTAGATGGGAAAAGCCAGCCTCAAGCTGATCCCTGCCCCTGAGGCTGACAAGCACAAAGGCGATGACAACCTTAGGGAGGCGCCTTTAGAACTCAAGGAATCCTTAAGATCGGCATCGAGATCAGGTGACGATAATCATACGGCTAGGGATACGTTACAAGCTGGTAGTGGGAATGGATACCCAGACGCCCAAACATCCAATGTCTTGGACAAAAACAAGCCAGCTTCGGGTTCGCATGTTTTGCGCCACGCGGGCCATTTCCTGGACACAGGCATGTCCTCAAATGACCAGGCGAAGAACATAACCCTTTATCAACGCCAGGCGACAAATGAGAGGACGCCTGAATGCGGCCATGGGCCACAGGCGCAGCCTCCTGCAGGGCAGGACGCTTGTGAACGGTGCGCCGGCAAGGGCTGGGGGACGCCATGTGGTCCCCCCCGCTGGCGCCTTATGTGGAGCTCTTCGGGGGGGGTCGGGCCAATGCCGCAACGAGCGCGGGGACGCGACGTGGACACCCCACTGGGGCCGCAGGTGGAGCCCAGGACGTTGACACCCCCACAGGGGACGCGACGTGGACACCCCACTTGGGCAGTGGAAGCGCGTGAGGAGCGTGCGGAAAGAAACGCGCGGGCGCCATGTGGACACACCGCTGGCGCCTTGTGTGGAACTCCCTAGGGTTATGTTGGGCCTGTCCCCCTACAGGGGGATTTTCGACGAAAAATAAAACATACCCCACAAATAGTCAACCAATACTCCAAAAATAGTCTGGGGACTATTTTTGGAGCATTTTCTCACCTTTTTGGAATATTTTAGGGGGTATCTTTATTTTTGTTGTCGAAAATCCCCCTGTAGGGGGACAGGCCCGACTTAACCCTAGGGGGCAGGAAGCATGTGAGGGGCGTACCGAAGTTAGCGCGGGGACGCCCTGTGGACGCTGTTGCTTTGGCCATCGGTGGAGCTCTCTGGGGGGGGCAGGGAGCCGGAAACGTGTGAGGGGTGCCCCGAAATGTGCGCAGGGACGCGATGTGGCCACCCCCAACGGGGGCCACGGGTGGAGCTCCCTCGGGGGCAGGAGACTTGCGAGGGTGCATCGGGATGGGCGCGGGAACGCCATGTGGACCCCCCCGCTGGGGCCATCGGTGGAGCTCTCTGGGAGGGGGGGCGGCAGGGATAAGGAAACGTGCAAGCGGTGCGCCGAATTCAGCGCGGGGGCGCCATGTGGACAGCCCCACTGAGGCCACAGGTGGAACTCCCTGTGGGGCACGAATCGTGTGAGCGGTGCGCGAAAACGGGTGTAGCAAAATCAGCAGGAGCGGCAGCGATGGGATTTGCGCAGAGGGGAATGCAACAGAGGAGGAGGAGGAGGAGGAGGAGGAGGAGGAGGAGGAGGAGGAGAAGGAGAGTGAGGAGGAGGAGGAGGAGGAGGAGGAGGAGGAGGAGGAGGAGGAGGAGGAGGAAGGAAGGAGACGCGAGGCGCTGCGGAGTCAAAACGAGGACCCAACACTCAGGAGGGTCGAGAAACTCGCGGGATGGAAAACACTGGAAAACTGCCATGCGAGAGCTTAGAAGACCTCGAAGAACCAACACAATACGACGCCAGGGGCCTGGGTAGAGTCCAAGGGATCCACGCCAATGGATATATCTTACTGAACTTGACTATTCTCTGGTCTGGCCCGCCCACCCCTTTCAACGTTAGGGCGCACGCGCCACTTCGAACGGTGCGGCCATGTCAGCCCTCGCCTGGCCCAAGCGTCCCCCTGCTCAAACTGCGGGACCATGCCCACCCACTGGCCTCCCTCGTCCAAGCCCCCTCTCCTGATTGGCCGATTTCCCAACACCACTACCATAGGTAGGAGAGAAGGAGGAGGAGGAGGAGGAGGAGGAGGAGGAGGAGGAGGGGGAGAAGGAGGAGGGGGAGGAGGAGGACATCCCATTATCCTTTCTCCCCCGTCCTACCTGTAGTAGTGGTGGTGGAGAAATGACCCATCAGCCCCTGCCTGCTTTGAGGCACCTCGCCCGGCCCTATCACTGGCCCCATTCGCTCCCACATACCTTCCCCCTGCCGGGTGTTGCTAGAAGTGCCCCTGGCCAAAGGTGCCCAGCTCTCCGCTCCATCTTGGAGCCCCCTGGGGCCCTGTGGGCCTCGTGAGGGGTGCCCTGGAGGCCTGGGGAGCCTCCTTGGAAATCCCGGGGGCACCCTGGGCCAGTGGCACTTCTAGCAGCACCCAAACCCTGGGTCCCGCTCAACCCGTGCGGCGGGCCAGCGCACGAGACGCCCATCGAGTTTGCCCGCGAGCGGCCGCCAGCACGAGCGGGGAATGCTGGGCCCAAGAGCCTGGCAGGGCCAGCCAGCGCACAGGGGCGCCCGCGAGGCGCCTGCGAGTGGGCACCGGGCAAGCACCCAGGATCACCCAAACAATCATCTGGCCATCGCTCGGACGTCCATTCCCTGTACTTGTCTGGTTTCGTGCGTGTTTTTTTCCGCAGGATGATCCAAGATGCTCCTCAATGATCCCCGCCGAGAAAAAGTGCACACGTCCGAGCGATACCAAGTCATTCTCAGCCGAGGCAAGATCTGCCAGTGCAGGCGCTGCGGAATATCTTATGCTACTGAGTAAGGGACGTTTAGTTTGGGGATGTCGGGTGAGGACGCAGTGAAGGAGGACGATGAGGCGAGGGAGACGGGTGGCCAGGAGGACGAGGTGTATTGCGAAGGAGAAGGAGCGCCTATGTGGAAGCGCCCTCGAAATCCTTCGGAGGAGGCCCACGCCCCCACCCCCCCCCTGCCCCTCCAGCCACGCGCTCGCGTGGACGGCGACGCAGAACTGGCTGGGCGACAGGGCGTCCCACCGAAGCGCGCCCAGCAGCCCTGGCATGCAGGAGTGTGCGCGGCAAGACGAAGGCAGAATTGCCCGACGTGGCTATGTTTTGCCCCTCAGCTGTAATTTTGTTGTCCTGTCTGGGCCACGAGCAGCTGCTGCCAGCCCTCGAGCTGTCACAGTACATACAGTGCGTGGCGGATTGGCAAAGAAATATGTCGTTGTCACGCGATTGTTGAACAACCCGTCGTGTGAGCAACATCGAATCATATGGAAGTTCACCCTCATATTCCTGTTCCCGCTGCTGTCGCTGCTGTCGCTGCTGTCGCTGCTGTCAATGGCTCCTGTTCCTGCTCATCCCTCCCCCGTCATCGTCTTCCTCATGTTCTTCCCCTTCCTTACCATCCGCAACGCATAACCTGAGCAGACGAGCCAGCGAGTGGGCAAGGGTATGAAAGTACACGTTGAGACGAATCACAATCCACGGACACCCGTTGAGCCAGATGCACGGCTTCGGCCAATTCTGGCTACTCAGCGAGGCACTGTGCTAGCGAGGGAAGCATGCCAGCCGAATCGACAAAGCCCTCCTCCTCCTCCTCCTCCTCCTCCTCCTCCTCCTCCTGCGCACGTGCATGTGCCGACGAGAGGGCCGATCCCACACGGGTCCGCCTGGCAGCAGCCTGTCGTGCCGCAGGCGCAGTAGATCCTGGGGGGACGGGCGGCCCGGCAGGGGAGGGGAGAAAGGGGCTCCGTGCCAAGGGTGAGGGCTGGGAGGTGTGCAGCCGAAGCACGGCCACGAAAACGTGGTCGAAGGCACACGGCCCCATGGACATGCCGAAAGCGAAGAACACCTGGGGCGCAGAGCACAAACAACGTAGAACAGAAGGGTACACCTCCAAAGCGACGGTTGCTGCTATACCTCGTGCCAGCAGTATACCGCAGCGCTCCGCAAAGTTTCTCCTGCGGCCCTCCGGCGCCCTGGGGACCCCCCAAAGGTCACAAACTCCCGCCAGAACCAGTCACTCCTGGACTCGACCTGGACGGTGCTCTCCGTTTTCGTTGTGTCTTCGTTCTCCCTCGTTCTGTCATCGCTCCGCCTTTGCTGCAGACCGAAATCAAAACGAAAACGGTCCACGAGATCGCCAAACCACCGTGCAACTCGAGCCCTGGGGTCACTCCGCGTCCCGCTCCCGAGGAGCCCGCAGGCCGCCAGGCGCGTTTACCTAACTTTGGAGCAGCTGGGCCGCGATCCGGTCGCAGCGCGGACACTCGGAGGTCTCGATCCCTTCCCCCCTGAGCCCGCCTTTCGAGAGGCTCACCTACTGGGATCGGGCAGATGGGGTCGGAGGATCGGACCGCATCGCCGCTGCACCGGCGCCATCGACCTGGAGAAATGCTGGCTCCACATCGAGCCGTGCATCGGCGATGCGGAGCGATCCTCCGACCCCATGTGGCTCTGACCCCATCTTCGGCGAAGAGGGGTGCAAGAGGGGGGGGTGCAAGTCATGACCGGCGGCATGTGCGCGGCCCAGCGGGCGGGCCAGGGACGTAACGAAAGAAGAAGAGGCGCCATGAAATGTGGGGAAATATCATGGCCCACGCCATGATATCCCCCCCCCCCAGTCATCACCCCCCTCTTTTCCGCCCCCGACATCTGGGAGGCCCAGGCCCAGGGCCTGGCAGGCCGAGACGCCGCCGGCTTCGCTCTGTACGAGGTGCTGGATGCCCAGGAGCGGAGACGGCGCGGACCCGCTCGAGAGTGCGGGGGGGACTTCGCGCGCACTCCGCGCTCGACCCTCCCGCCTCCTGCTCCCCACCTCTGGCGTGGAGGCGCGGCGACCGCCGCGCCACTCGTCAAGTAGGGGGCCACGTGCGAGCCCTACCCCTACCCCCCACGACTTCTGAGGGGGAGGGTGGGGTTCACTCCGTTCGGGAGCTCCCGAGCGAAGGGAACCCAACCCTCCCCCTCAGAAACCGTGGGGGATAGGGGTAGGGTTCGCATGTGGCCCCCTATCAAAGCATCTCCCCCCCCCTCTCGCCGCCATTAGCTCCGAACTTGCCCACACCTCGCCCAGGCGTCGTCCCCGCCCCTCCCCGCCCTC